AAGTTAGTCGATAATGGTGAACTGTTGGCAGAAAAGCAGAAAAAGTTACTGACTCAGCGATGGTAGCAGACTTTAGTTAACCTCCAGGTTATGGTTCATGTGAAAAGTATTTGCCCTCTTCTCAAATTCTTCCTTTTTTTTTGCAGTTTGCCCCATTTCAATACTTGAGATCATAAAACAAATGTAAATATAAAACAAAGATACCTAAAGTCAATATAAAATGCAATACTTATCTGGTGACTTTATTTATTAGGGGAATAAAATCGATTCAAAGCTCCCTGGCCTTCTGTAAAAAATCTATATATATATATTGCACCCTAAAGGTGATAATTCCTTGGGCCATGCTCAGCAGCAACAATTGAAATAAAGTGTTTTCTGGCAATGAGACTCTCACATCTCTGTGGAGATATTTTGACCCAATCTTCCTTCCAGAATTGTTTTATTCCAGCAGTTCTGGAGGTTTTTACAGCCTGAGTGATCAGTTATGATCATTTCACAGCATTTCAACTGGATTAAAGTCCAGACTTCAACTTTGACCTCACCTAAACCATAATTTTGTTTATTAAAGTAATTCCAAAATTGGTGGCGTCTTTTGGACCGTTAACCTGCTGCAGAACTTAAGTGCACTCCACCTTAAGGTCATGAACAGATGGTCAAACATTCTCCCTCAGGACTTTCTGGTCATGAGCAGAATTCATGGTTCCATCAATCACAGCATGTGGTCCAGGTCCCGAAGTTGCAAACTAGCCCCAAACCATCATAGAACCACCACCACCATGTTTGACTGTTGGTGTGATGTTATTTTTCAGAAATGTTATCTTGCATTTACGCGAGATGTAACGAGACACACAACTTCCAAAAAAAAATTTACTTCTGGACATATCAGTCCATAGAATATCCTCTCAAAAGACTTGGTAATCATGTGTTTTGCAAAAAATGGACAAACCTTTATACTTATTTTGGTCAGCTGTGGTTTTCGCCTTGGATCTCTTCCATGGGTATCATCTTGCTCAGTATCTTTCTCGTTGTTGAGTTATCAATGCTAACCTTAACTGAGGCTGGGGGGCCTGCGGTTCTACTTTTGATGTTGTCCTGGGTTCCTCTTTGACCTTCTGGATGAGTCGTCGCTGTGCTTTTGGGGTAGTTTCCGTAGGCTGGAAACTCCTGTGAAGGTTCCCCACTGTGCTGTACTTTCCCATTTTCTGGATAATGGTCTCTCACCGTGGTTCCCTGTAGTTCTAAAGCTTTAGGAATTGCTCTGTAACCCTTTCCAGACTGATATGTGTCAATTACATTATTTCTCATTTGTTCTTGAATTTCTTTGGATCAAGGCGGCTTTTTGAGATCTTTCGGCCAACTTCATTTTGCCAGACAGGTTCTATCTAGGGGATTGAACAGTTCTGGAGGTAATCAGGTTGCCGTGCGGTCAGTGAAAATGAACTGAAAAATGTGATTAGCCACAGACAGTAAAGTCACAATTTTAACAAGAGGGACAAGAACGTTTTCCACACAGGGCCACGTCCCTTTGAATAGATTTTTTCCCATAATAAATAAAATCACAATATAAAAATGGCTTTATATATATACTTAGGTTATCTTTGTAAGTAATTGAGCATGTCAGTTGGTCTACATTATTTTGACTGTGTTTACATTTACCATCTCTGTCAACATATGAATAAGTATTTCATATCTACTTTATGTAGATGTTTATTCAAATGATGATTGTAAGTTTCTTGGTATTTTTAGATAAAATTTGTATTTTTAGATAAAAAAAGATTACCGGTAATTTAAAAAAAAAAAAGAAAAGGTTGACCAGACAACCTATTTAAAACACAACAAGCAATGCCACCCACCTTAAGAGATGAGACCACACCATTTGCCCCTCCACTTAAGGCCTCTCAACTCAGAATTTGAGAGAGTGACGATGAGACAATAGCTGAACAGATGGAGCAGTAAGACACTTCTAACAGTGGCAGGGAGGAAGTGTACACACAAGTCTAGGCACAAGGCTGAACTCAAGTTACACTGAGGCTTTGTTGCTATGGTAAATGTGGAGGGACACCAGCTTGACATAATACATGTAATGTATTTGAACTGTTTTATATTGAAGTTAGGATTCACTTGCAATAAACACATCAGTCATCGATATTCAACTGCAAATCGCAATGCGTCTCTTGCTTGTGATTGCGCACTGCTATAAAGCTCCACAGTGAGTTTTGCATCACATTGCGACACATAGAATTAAATGACTATAGCTCAAGACCTTCAATACAACATGAAATGAGTGACAGGAGAGGCTTCTCTGTATTGTGTATGTCAACTGGCTTTACCGTCACCCAACACAGCCAAACGAGAAGACCAGACCAGGGGGTTGCTTTCAAAGCCGTAGTCCATGCAAATACGACAATTAGCTTTAGTGACATTTTGCACTTCATCTCATGATGCCATTAATGTGCCCCAGCAGGAGCAGTCACTTACTGTATGAAAAGGCCTTGAAATGTTTTGATCTTTTAAGACAGTAGATCAGACACTTGCTTCATGACACACACTTCTGCGATGAGGTGCTAATGAAGCCAGTGTGAAAGATCTGGTATGTCGACCCTCAAAATTGGCAACACAATAAACCGGTTTAATCATTTGAAGAACGACCACACAAGTGAATCTGTGGAAAGCAAAAAGATGCAAGCAGAGTCGGCACTTCCACTGTTGCCACACGCGTAGCAGTAGCAGTTCAGCCTCTACCAACTACCATTGAGACGCCAGACCAAACCAACTTTTGATCACAGCCATTTACAAGTAGAAATGGTGTTGACACCGTATGTAGCATGATTTAAAAATGATAATGTTTATATTTAAGGCAGCTTCATTGTTCCTGAGGGGGCAAAGTGTTTACTGTTTTTTGAAATTGTTTTATATTTGTTGTATTGTTGAAAAACAATGTTTCAATCATTTTGTGTTCATCTTTTCATTCTGTTTTAAAACTGTAGTACATATATTAATAATTTTTTACAGTATAACTTCAGACAGACGCTGGCATTTTAAAAAGAATGTAAACAAAATTCATGTTCAATAATTGACGAAAGGGTGGCCCAGCACGTCGACTTCATGGTGCAGAGGTACGGGGTTCAATTCCAGCTCCGGCCTTCCTGTGTGGAGTTTGCATGTTCTCCCCGTGCTTGCGTGGGTTTTCTCCGGGTCCTCCGGTTTCCTCCCACATTCCAAAAACATGCATGGCAGGCTGATTGAACACTCCAAATTGTCCCTAGGTGTGAGTGTGAGCGCGAATGGTTGTTCGTTTCTGTGTGCCCTGCGATTGGCTGGCAACTGGTTCAGGGTGTCCCCCCGCCTACTGCCCGAAGACAGCTGGGATATGCTCCAGCACCCCCCGCAACGCTCGTGAGGATAAAGTGGTTCGGAAAATGAATGAATGAATGAATGAATGAATGATTGACGAAATTGGATGATATGAAAATCCCCCACCCTGGTCGGCGAATGGCTGCCAGTCTGCAGTGGACTTGTATGAACTGGTATGTAGCGGAAAAAAAGTTTGGGGACCACTAAGTCCAAATGAAAGACTGCAGTTTCCCTGTCAGGTTTTTCCACTGAGCTCTTTATAAGCATTTCTACAAAGTTGGAGAGCTCAGCTGATATCTAATCGTTAAAAGGAAACATATTTTCACAATGTCAAATAAAAAAACATTGGAGTTCACCTATGTTAAAGTGTGAACTAGGATATAATGAGTGTGAAAATTGAGCCTCAGGTGGTGAAGGGTTGAAAAAGAAATTACCTCAAAATGTTACCTGCAAGCACATCATTGGCTGAGAAAACAATAATTATTAACTAGAAAAGACAAAATAATTGTAAAAGAGATGCGGGGGGCGGTGGGGGGGGGGGTCGCTGATTGACTTGTGACCTGCTTGGTAAAGTCTTCTGAAAGACTCAACTTGACTAACTTGGCATCATTAGACTCATTTAGACTTCGACTTGACATGCTGTGCTTCTCCTCCACATTTAACTCCATACGTAAATGACTGTAATAGACTGACTCAGAAAGCTCAGCTCCCTTAACAACTACATCAGGTGGTATTCATGGACTTACGGTACATAAATTGGGGCTCATAATTGCTCAATGACCAACTATTCTTTGCTGTGATTTATTGCGAAAACAGTGCATTTTTTACACACGTAGAGATTCTAAGACCACACGAGGTGTTATTTGTCAGAAAGAGCAAAGCTTCAAATGTCTGACTGCCAATCTCTCAATGTGTCTCGGAGGCTGACATCCCCCGGTGTGTCATCCACAGATTTGCGGTCCCATCCAGCCGATTAATTATTAATCAAGCTTCCACTAACAAATGGGCTTTTAATTGTCTGGATTGCTGTTTGACAACAACTGAAACACAGGCCTCGATCCAAACAGGCTATCGATCAGCCCAATGCAGCCTCGTCAACAGCAGCAGAGGAGGCGAGAGCTGCCTTGAATCAATCCAGGCATGGAGGATAAGACAAACTAACAAGATTTTTTTTTTTTTTTTTTTTACTCTAATCTCCCCAGCAATTAAACTTTGAAAACACAATGCCGGACAAGGAAAAGCAAGTTCGTTCTTCATTTTGTTATTTGAAATTCTGCATCAAGTTGAACACTCACAGAGACATTGTGCCTTTCCAAAACTTGCCTAGAGGACACACATACATATGAAAGTCTCCCATGTAGATATTTGCCTCAATCAAGAGGCTGGTCTGGGGCACTGAGGAGCAGATCTGCACTCCACACGCATCCTGAGCTGAACCTCACTGAGCAGCGTGATGCAAACAGGCTGTCGGCGTCACACGCACATACAAGTCTCTGCATCTTGAATGCTCATATTTGAAACGAGAAATCGTCAGAAGGAGGTTGGACGATGGAACAATGCAGCCTGATGAGCTCCAATCGAGCATCGGGGGTTGTTTTAAGAGGCAGAGACTAGAGACGCAACGCCCGGCAAGCGTACCTTCTTACCTTTTATTGCAATGAGCTGCAGATGTTGCCGCCAGTCACACGCCAATAGTTATCGTCCTCTTGCATGTCGACCAAATCTCCGCCAAGCAACTCTTTATGTCTCTGCAAGGTAACAACACCCCCGATATCACGGCGTGAAAGACGCAAGAGTCACTCTGTTGAATTTGAGCCGCCCTCGGCTGGATGCGGCTCACCGGCGCACGAGAGGCTGAAGCTCCATGGCGGCACGGGAATCTCTGTTGGGAAGCTGCCGCAGCAGCCTTTTTACTCCGAAGAGACGTGGGATGAGTGCGGGGCGGGTGGGGGTGGCGTGGGGGCGTCCGAGGGCCACGACCAAACACTCAGCCCACGAAATCAACCCAAAGGAGCCGCAATGACGGCCTCACAGTGGATGAATCACCACGCGTGCGTGTTTTGTCAGCAAGTCAATTAGGGAGAGAGAGAGAGAGAGAGAGAGAGAGAGAGATCGAGCGAGAGAGAGAGAGAGAGAGAGAGAGAGAGAGAGAGAGAGAGAGAGAGAGAGAGACAGAGAGAGAGACACACGCGTGCTTGGATGATTCAGCCAGTGACAAAGTGCCAATATGGACTATTCAGAAGCACTTTAAACATTCACGAGCAGCAAAAGCTTCTAAATGTGAACGTGTTCTCTCTGTGTTTAGAAGAGATGCTCAAGTCATTTTTTGCAAGTTCAAATGCTGCGTGACGTACATTACCTATGCAGTCGTTGTTTCCTATCATTGAATGTGATCATGGTATTTTTTAAATGGGTGACTGTAGTGTACGTAGATATAATTCCTTTAAAAAAAACCCACATGGGACACAACTGGACCACTTGTTATAAAGAGGCGTACCAGCATCATGAAATGGTTTAATGGCCCCCGGCCCCACTTTCAGTGAGCCACTACCATTTTGAAAACCGAATTGCCCTCTTTATACACACATTTTGACGTGTTTATTGGCCGCCTTTGAGATACCAAACGCAAATAGCACGGCACTCCAGTACTAAATATTATTTCTCTCTCTCTCTCTCTCTCTCTCTCTCTCTCTCTCTCTCGCTCTCTCTCTCTGATCAGAAAAAGAAGTGACAATAATTTGAAATTTTTAACGAGAAGTAATCATGTGTGGTGTTCTCTTTTTCATTTTTTGCAAAACAACAAATTAAAAATTCTCGTTTACCATGAGAAAAACCTTAAAATTATAGTTTTTCACTTTTTCAGGGTCAAACATGTTAAAACTGTCTGTAAGCTATGGCCTCACAGTATAATACAATTAAAATGATCTCTTGAAAATCTTCCCTTTCTAGCCCCATCGTATGCCCTTAATTTATTATTTTAAAGCTAGCTGCTGCGACGAGAACTAGTTGTTCAGACAGACACTGTAGAGCAGTGGTTCTTAATCTGGTTTCGATTGAACCCTAGGGGTTCGGTGAATCAGTCTCAGGGGTTCGGCAGAGCCTCTACCATGGAGGTTAAGACCACCTGACTCAACATGTCAATTACCGGTAGTTATGACACGCCCGCTTGGCCATTACTAGCTGGTTCATTTTGTGCACAATTAAAAAACGTATACTTTATACTTCTACTGATTGTGTTTACTTTTTTCTATTTTTAATAAATGCGTTTGTAAAAAAATCATATATATTTTTTTCACTAATGAAGGGTTCCGTGAATGTGCATATGAACTGGTTTAAAATTTACCTTTTGACGACCCAATTAGCACTTACTTGAGTTCCTCATTGACAAAAGTGTGGTCCTGAAGAGCACCACACTCAAACAACCCATGACCTATCATCAGTTCATACAAGATGATCTCACTTTATAAATCCTGGTCTTTGGTACTTTTGAGGGAATCCAGCCCAATCAAATGTTTCAAAGACATGTTCCATCAAGTCCATAAATGTGACTTTTTTCATAGCAGTGTATTTTTCAGCAACAGAGGGTTGCTTGGTTGATTGGTTAACACCATGACTAATACTGTAACCCTGTACAGTATCTGATCCAAGAGTGCATATCCTAAGTGGTAGGGGTGGGTGGCAGGCTTTCATCTTTTCCCCCCCAAAAATCCCATGTCATGATGGCAAAGTTACCTGACTGTGTTTGAAATGCAACGGCGAAAGGATTGTTACTTGTATACGACTCTCGTATGTCTCAATTTTGGTAAAATGTTTTACATCAGCATTTACGTTGGGTAAATGTCCTGTCTTGTGCATTTTGGTTATCACAGCAGCATGCACAATCAGTGACTTCATCAAATGCGTGGTGTACATTGTAGCTCGTGAAAGCAGTTACTGAAACATTTGCTCGTGAGACCCTTTCAGCCGCTCAAAGTCTCTCTCTGTCCCATAAACTCTCTCTATGTCAGTCTTTTGTCAACATCACAGAAGATTAACCATTTGCACCAATGATAACAGTAATCTGTCACCTGTTGTGATGTACAAGATGTACAGAAATGCTGATCTGTGTCTTATTTGTATCTCACCCTGTGCAGTATGCAGTAGATGTAAATAGAAATATTGTTTCAGCCATGATTACAGCATTTGGGAAACACAGCACACTGAACAAAACAGGCAGGCTTTTCTGAAGAATATCAACATCTCTTTCATTTCTTTGGATCCTTCTTCTGATTTAATACCCTTGAATGATGAGATTCCTCCGATACTGTGGAAGCTCTCGAGAGACAATGGATTATGTCGTAAGGTGCAACTACAAAAATGTCAGGAAAAACCTACTGAAACAGAATTCACCGTATGAGAGGGTATGTGCACTAGCACAAATGTTTACTTCTACAAGTATGCCGTCAAGCGATTACATGTTTAAAATCTAATTAATCGCACACTTGTATGCAATTAATCACACTTTTGTACTTGTACTACGTTCCACAAAGTTGTAACAGATGTTTACTTTGGTAAAATCTTGGAATCCATGCACAATCATCATATAGAATGTATATATTCACAAACTACTTTAGTAGATTTTCTTCATCATTGAATAATATTCTTCTGCTGTTATATTTCTTTGAGGATATCGAATAGAATCTATCAACTAAAGGTTAAGATGTTCATGTATGTCAAGAAGACAAAGTTAATTCATTTAGAAGGGAACTATTCCGTCATCATAATGGGACTTATTGACAGTGTGACAACTCATTGTGAGCTCAGCACTAATTAAATGCGTTTGCCTAGACACGAGCTGTTTGAAGCGCATGCCCGCTGACATGTGTAACTTCTCTTCCTCCAGGATTGGCATCAAAATCCATGCGGCTCCTCGCGCTTGTGCCCCAAGATACCACGCCAATTATTTGTCTCTGTGGGAGAAACCTATTTGTGGAAGCCCTTCTTCCTATTTGTGCGGGCCGTCACAGTGGTGCTGCATCCTTCCGGCTTTCAGACTGGACAGTTGACAGAGAAGACATGGTCATCATCGCTGTGACCCTCCGGGGCATTCTTTGGCTGCAGGAGGGTTGTGACATCGCAGTTGCCCCTACAGAGAGAATTCAGTCCAATTTGGGGGAGTTAACAAATCTGTAAAAGAACACCCATGGCTCTATCAAATACACAAATTCCATCCTACTGCATTCACAGGTGGAAAACGTTTTGTGTTCAATGATGATGCCTTAAGAGACGCACATTTGCAAGTTAATCCTCCTTTCAGCCACCTTTCATTTTTCAAGCAGCATTCACTTCAAGTTCATTCATGAGGTGACTAATTGGAAACATTTCTGGCTTTCAGTGTGGCATCCAGTTTCTCTCTGTCATTTCCTTAATAGATGAAAACTATTTGAAGCAAAGGAGAATAAACTGCAATTGGTCTCATTTGGAAAGGTGTAAAATAGGAATTTTCTGAGGGAATATACCAGTGGAATGGTGGCATATTATTGTTTGCTTTACTGTATGCGGCTAATGTCAATGAGTGCATGAAGCACATTATATAAATAGAGAATTTGATTAATAAAAGAGTAGCTATTTGAGTAACTATTTGGGAGAATCTTTTTTTTTTTTTCACAGACAATAGTTGGCTCTTCTGACAATTGACTGATTGCATTGTGGGTGCTCTGGTGTGCACCAGATTAATGAACATGTGCTGAGCGCAGTCAGGCAGAATATATGGCAAGCAGACCATGAAAACATGGTTACAGGGCGATACTGTTCCATTTTGGCAACTTTATAAATATCCTGATAAGGTTGTGTGGCTCTGCAAATTTCACTATTAAACCCTTTGTTTCTGTTCTTTTGATTCAAAGGTAGAATCAGATGACAATCAACTTCCTCTGTTACAGAATGCCAAACAAGAGGAATATAAACAAAAACAATGGCCTTTTACAAAGCAAAACAACCTATCATGAATCCTGAAGTCATCCATCATGAAATTAATAGGAGAGCGGATTATAGTATGTGCAGGCCAAAGGTTGAATATCAAGAGACGGTTTTTTTTTTCTTTTTTTTTAAATTAGCAAAACCACTTTTGAATTATGACAAATACCAAAAAAATGACAAAAGCCTGAAGGAGCATTTAGCCTAATTCATATTTAAAATATCCCAGTGCCCCTGACAGTGAGGACAGAGAAAGCCAATTGTACAGCAACATGGTTTCATCAGTTGATTGAATTCATGTCCACCTATCTAGTCATGAATATATACTGTACATTATTATTTAGTATGATTATTATTATAAGGGAGAATTCAACACTCACTCTCCACTTTGTGTTGTACACGTCACACAGATCAAGCATGCAGGCTTGCAAGGAGGGATTCATTGTGAAAGAGGTGTGCAGAGTGTCACGCCACTTGAGCTATGATGGCGGGACCAATGCCTTGCTCAAGGACACCTCGATGGTAGCCAACAAGTAGACGAGCATTCCTCTAACAACTAATTGCCATTTTTACATTTTCCTCTGCAGTAGATCTCAAACAAAACCCATTTCGTTCAACTCCAAAGACCAAGTCCTGACAAATAAACCACCCTTAAGGAAACATTCCCGATGCCTTGCCATGCACTCTAATTAAAATATCAGGAAGCCATAATATTGAATTGTTCTATTGAGCCATGCGCTGCTAAATAGAACAGAGGTGTGAGTTAATGTGTAGTGCAATACATGTACTTGTTTAATTCAATTTGAAACATTAACTGTTTGAGATTATATGATGATGCAATTGTCTTTTGATTATGTGTAGCCCAGGACAGGTATATGAACACGACTATCTCGAATGTTGCGATTGGGGCCCGGAGGGGGGGGGGGGGCGATTCTGACTTCCAGCGTTCTTAAGTGTAATTCTGCCATCTAGTGGATTCATACCTTGCTCCAGTAAGAACTAACTTGAACTGTAATTATGAAAGTAATTGAACAGACATTATAGGACCCATATTGCTGAGTTCGTGAGTGTGATTACCGCTGAAGCCGCCTCCCCACCCACCACACACACATACACACTTTCCAAAAACTTCCGCTCGGGAACTATTGCTATGCTTCGTCTTTTGTTGTGTGTTTTGGTTTTTCTTTGCGATTAATTTTCTTTTGTTTGTTTGTGATTTTTGATTTGCTCTTGTGTTTTGTCTTTATGAATGTGTTTTTGTGATTAATTTTCTTTTGTTTGTCTGTTTGTGGTTTTTGGATTTGTCGTTTTGTTTTGTCTTTTATGTGTTTTTGTTTTATTGTTTGGGATTCATTTTCTTTTATTTGTTTGTTTTTTGTTGATTTGCCATTGTCTGTTCACTTTTGTTTTTGTGTTTTGTTATATGTGTTTGCAATTACCTTTTTTGTTTTGTGATTGGTTTTTAATTGCACTGCAGGACAACCACATATTGAAACATCTACAAACTCGTCATTGCACGTGACTTATATGGTTATGCTTATTCATTTCTGATGTTTCAGGATGGAGAATCTAGTCTATATATGCACTAGTTTCAAACAGCACTGTAGTTACACTTTTTATGTGTTTAAAAAAATCAACAAATGTTATCATTACTGTTGTTAGTGATGTACAGAATGGGACTGAAAGAGGGAATATTTGCTACAGCCTTGCTTCATCCATCCATTTTCCAATCTGTTTATGCTCACAAGGGTCGCGGGCGTGCTGGAGCCTATCCCAGCTGTCTTCTGGCAGTAGGCGGAGTACACCCTGAACTGGTTGCCAGCCAATCACACATAGACGAACAACCATCCGCGCAAAGGAAAATTTTGGAATGTGGGAGGTAACTACGCAACCACGAAAATCCATGCAGGCACGAGGGGAACATGCAAACTCCACACACGAAGGCCTGAGCTGGACCCTGCACCTCTGTACTGTGAGGCGCGAGTGCTAACCAGTAGACCACCTTGTCGCCCCTGCGATATAGATTTCGTAAGAAATAAACAAAATTGGGCGGCCCAGTGGTCGACTGGCTAGCGCGTCTACCTCACAGTGCAGAGGTACCGGGTTCGATTCCAGCTCTGGCCTTCCTGTGTGGAGTCTGCATGTTCTCCCCGTGCCTGCGTGGGTTTTCTCCGGATACTCCGGTTTCCTCCCACATTCCAAAAACATGCATGGCAGGCTGGTTGAACACTCAAAATTGTCCCTAGGTGTGTGTGTGTGTGAGATTGCTGATGGTTGTTCGTCTCTGTGTGCCCTGCTATTGGCTGGCAACCGGTTCAAGGTGCCCTCTACTGCCCGAAGACGGCTGGGATAGGCTCCAGCACGCCCCTTGTGAGGATAAAGCAGATCAGAAAATGAATGGATAAACAAAATTGTGAATAACGTCAAAATATGAACAGAGTAACTTTGTTAATTGGCAAGCTACAATTGAACCTTTTTTTAACTACTCTTTCAAGCCCCTTTTTAAGTTTGGAATGAGTCAATCATGTGAAAAAAGTGATCTTGTGGACAGTACTGTACTTGTGTCAAGGGAAGGCGTGCACGCAAGGGGCGTGGCCATCAAGAGGTCAAAGTTGAATCCAGTCGAGCTTTTGTGCTAAGCAGCAGAGTGGAGTCCCATCGAAGCGCGGCGTCTCTTCCCTCTTCCCCAGATCCTTTTCAAAGTCCCTCCCGAACCTCTCCCCCTTCTTCCCTTGTCACCCTACCCAACCCCTGGACACACATTGACGGACGGTTTGGGTAAGAGATCCAAGCACGGCACTATATGCTTTTTGTCGCTGTTTTCCTTTAGCTTTGCTAGTAGACTGGGGCACAGCGAGACCTCGGTGCTTCTCTGTGCGTTCGAAGGCCGCGGGTTGAGACTATTTCCTGGAGGAGGGGACGCTTAAGCTAGCAAGCCGGATGGAAAATTACTGGTTATGCTAACAAGTCGAGTGAGTCTGCTAGCTCGTGTCTTCTGCTTATGGTGTTCTCTTGCTATGTTATTGATAAAATCCCAGTAGTTATGCGTGAAATAAGTATTGATGTTAATTAAGATACGACGTGGTGTCAAACTTGGCTATCTGCTTGCGTGACAGACATATTGTCATTGACAGACTTGCCTTGCAGTGGGGGTGTTAGCTTCTCACTCGGAGCCCCCTCCCCCCCTTCCACTAAGAAGCACTTGGCACGAAGGCACGCGAATCCCAAGTGATCCAAACAAGTGTTTACACATGCAATAACAGCGTCGTGCATGTAGCATATGTCGTTTCTGCTCCTTGGTACCATGAAATAGTCGACGCCCAACATAGACAGTGGCTCATTGTACTGCCGTGAATGGGTGGACTCGTGCCAGTCCAATGTGCATTACAGCAATTAAATATCTCTATTTCTTTCGCAACTGAAGTGCTTTGTCACGACAGAGGCAGCTTCAGCCTGTACACCTGCACAGAGAGCATCTTCGTGGAGAAACACAACTTCTGATGCGGCTTCGTGTAGTTGTCTCTGACTTTGCTCCTCTCCACGCTCTTGCAGGCATTTGGCCTGTGACCAAAGATTCACTCCTGTCTGTCACATCCAGCTGCATCAATGGACTCAAGTCTGGTTGAAGGAGGACTAAATGTCACCCTAACTATCAGGTTACTCATGCATGGAAAGGTGAGTGTGGATGCATGCACTGCTTCATCATTGATATTAAAAGTAACATGTGCCTGAATGTTCCTTTTCCGTCATTCTTTTAGGCAATGTGTATCAACATTAATACTGTATCATTGGCACTTGATCCCTTGAAAAAAAAGTTTTTAAGCCGTTGTAATGCGGCATGTCCTCTAACATGCCACTGTTTATTTCTGACTTGTTTTCTGGTCTATTCTGCTATAGCGCAATGCCTTATGGCCTTGTCAAGTCTTGCCATAATTTAGATAGCAGCCCTACCTATTTCAAATCTCATTTTATTCCTTCAAAAGGCATTTATGGTGGCAGTAGCTGACAAATGCACCCAGTAAGGGAGTCTCCAAAGGCAGTCTATGACAAGCTCAACATTGCATCATGTCCAAAAAGCTTAATCAATCCACATTCAAATTTATGTCCATTGTGTATCTTGTATACATGTAAAAATATTTGTCTGAAAATATTAAAGCGAAAGTTGTATTGTTTCTTAATTTAATGTCGTAAATTGCCTCTTCTGTTGCCTCAGAGAAAAAATGGACGGTTGCAGTTGCTTTATGGAGGATGGGGCTGGCTACATTCACCAGCTACCGCTGCGATAAATGTCTTTTTTGAAGGAAGAAAATGAATCCTAACATCGGTAGGAGTGCTATCTAAATTATGCCAATACTTAATGATGCCATATGTTATATTTATATGAAAATAGACCAGAAAACAGGTAAAAAAAAATGAACAACGGCGCGTTACAGAACGCGCTACATCACAGACATTATGTGAACGGCTCAAAAAAGCTCAAGATGGCACTGCACAGGGTAAGATATGTCATTATTTTGATACTTAATCGACTTCAACTTTTTTCAGGGAATCAGATGCCATTGATATTTGCACTATTCATGTTGAGACACACTGCCTCATAGAATGAAGGAAAATGAACGTTAAGTGGGAAGCTCCTTAAAGGATACTTGTCGCTCAGTGCACTTATAATTTACTCTTTGCATTTTTCTTGTAGGAGGTTGGAAGTATAATTGGCAAGGTATGTGATTTATTTTTATTTTTAACTTTAGCTGGGTATGATTTACATCTAACGCACCAGTTTTGTTTTGTAAATGTTATTTGTCTGCACGACAGAAAGGAGAGTCGGTGAAGAAAATGAGAGAGGAGGTAAGATGCAAGAAAACAATGAGAACACACCTCGTGATTCTGCGTCATCATTTGCCACGTGGCTCATCTATGCCTGCAGAGTGGAGCTCGCATCAACATCTCTGAGGGGAACTGTCCAGAGAGGATCATAACGCTGGCAGGACCCACCACCTCCATCTTCAAAGCGTTCTCCATGATCATCGAGAAATTGGAGGAGGTTTGAATGTGCAAACTCCGTTTCATAATGAGGCAAGATTCCGCTGGTGAACTTGAAAATGAACGTTTGGCTTTCTCCCTTAGGACATCAGTACCTCGCTAACAAACAGTACAGCCACCAGCAAACCACCAGTCACCATGCGCCTCGTTGTGCCTGCCAGCCAGTGTGGCTCACTCATCGGCAAAGGGGGCTGCAAGATCAAAGAAATTAGAGAGGTGGGACGTCAACCCCATCGTTCGTGTTGGTCCGTTGAGCTCGCTCAAGAGTGTCTTCTACCAATCGCAGTGCACTTTGCAATTGTTTTGCATGAGAGGCGAATGGCCATTGAGAGGATTCAAATGAAGGTCTTTGCATTGAATGCAAATAAAATGCGATAATGCCATATTTTATATTTTTCCCTATGAATGGAAACCATGCCCCAACTAATTGCCTGGTGTGTTGTCTCCTGGAATAAATAGCTGCCACATCCCAAATAGGCACCCTTCCGCCACTCATACAAAAGTAGTATAATTCATCAGTTAGCTGCAGTAACCATTGCTCTGAGATT